TTGAACCCTATGGGGAAATTTGTGTCGGGTTACGACCAACTCGGGATACGCCCAGAGTCACCGAACGGATTAAGTTCGTGTCCCGAGGTACCACTGTACTTTGTTGTAATCAGAGGTGGAGAATGCCAAAATTACAAGGGAAACTTCAGTTATCCATAGGCTTGATGAATTGAGACTCTTTTCTACATAATGGAGAAACACTTGCCACATTCTAAATCATAGCACTTTGAATAATTGGAGACTACTAGATAGTAAGGTGTCCAACAGTTGTTCAACAAATATGTCTAAGCTCTAGATTATTTCTCCTAACAAAAATATATTATGCTATCTGGCTTCCTTTGGCTGATAAGTGAACTTTGATTTAGAAATGAACAGGACTTACCCCTGATATTTGGCAGTTGTTGGAACTTTTTCTTTCCTACATCTTGTAGAAAATGTATTTATCACAGATCTATGTTGTTGAATTACTACTACTGTCATGAAATCAAGGTTCAATTATTGTGTATTTTTCTCCTGCCTGTAGGGCAATGGGCTCAAAGTTTCCCACTCAGAGATGAAAGGAGTGGTTGGCATCTGTCCCTTGTTATTGTAATAGTCTGGTCCAGGGTTGTCCACAGGGTGTGGTAAAAAAAGTGAAGATAGCATCCATGACAAATCAAGGTTCAGTTATTGTATATTTTTCTCCTGCCTATGGTGCAATAGACAATATATTATGTAAAGGCACATATAAAGTGAGTTGTACAGTAGGTGGGAAAAGTACACCTAAATATTTGTGCAAATTGGGTTTTTCATTTTTTTAAGCCAATGTAGAAATAGTATAAACCAAGTTAGGAAGAGTGAAATATCCATGATATTTATCCATCTTTAATATGTAATGGAAATTATGATTTATAAAAATCTGTTACATATACATTTGTAGGCTTCTCATAGACATCTTCATAGTTACTCCAAATAAATTTGTACTTCCTGTGCACAAAATGAGGAAAGTATAGAAAGGTAGGGACTGGCAATTTATTAAAGGAGAAATTAAGCAGTAACAATAACCAACATTTTGTACCTGTGCGTAAGAATTAAGCAGTATCTTCCCACAGCATAAAGAAATTGCTTTGTTTTCAGTCTCCAACTTCAATAATCCATTTTGCTTAACATTTCCTTTTTTAGATATAGATGAATGTATAGCAAGTATGCCAAAATGTAACTTACATGCAGAATGCCTGAATAGTCAAGGATCCTTCAAGTGTAAATGTAAACCAGGCTACAGAGGCAATGGTTTTGAATGTTCAGGTAAGTTGAAAAACAGCTGTAACAATATATATCATTGTCTCATTCCAATATTTTCCACAGGTTATGAAAAATGTAAGCATTTTCAAAATGTGCCTTTTTGGAGGAAGAGTATTCTTCTTTTATGTTTAAAACAGGGGGTGAGATCCCATACAAAGACATTAGATGTATTACCGTATTTTTCCGACAATAAGACGCCCCCATGTACAAGACGACCCCCACTTTTCCAGCCCAAAATT